GAAGCTGGTGGAGGTAATAAAAACAAGCTAAACTGCTACAGGGATATAAAGATTAAATATTTCCCCTGGGAATCTACCCATTAATTACTTGTTTCCTTTTACCCCCATTTACCTCTTTTTTCGATACTGTGGATTAACCCAGCTCAGCCTTCCCCCAGCACTGCAGCCAAAGCACAAACCAGCAAGTGCCACCAGCGCCAGGCAAGAGCTTCATCTCATCATCCTCCTCCTCCCGCGCTCCCTCCCTGCGCGGGTACCTTTATTTTTACACCCAGAACCACACTTTAAATATTTTTTTTCAGTGAGTTACTGAGCACACAACAAGCATCACTCTCTGTCTTTACTTCGTGCGGTCAGATTCTTCTACCATCCTCTCCCAAAAGGCTCTTGTCACTCCCTGGAACACTTTAACCCCTCTTCTCCAGAGTTGCTCCAGGTTTGGGGTTCTTATTTGAGCACAGAAATGTGTACAGTATTTCCAGGGAATATGAGAGTCTTAATATGTCTTGTCTTTACTGAATTACCTCTTCCGAGGTGTCCCTTTGCTTTTTTCATCCATGAGAATGGTGGCTCATGGTCATTTTAGGATCAGGAAAGACAAACAATGAGATGATCCCATGTCATTCTTTAGCCTTTCAGGGGTAAAAAAGGGAAAACACGGAACTATCAGAGAATATGTTTAACAAAAATAAAATACTTGATATAAATCAGGTTGCAACTAGCTAAAAGAAACAAAATGTACAAAAGATGTGGTAAGAGTAAATCTACAAATACAGTAAAGGGAAAAGTTAACATCAATGTATTTAAGAGTAGGCAAAAAAATTGAAAATCCTAAGGAGTGGTATTATTAAAGAAAAAGCCCTTTTACAGGAACTACCAATTACTGGTGTGTCCCCCATAAATGACTCTGTAAATAACCACTTCTGTTTCCGCTGTCCTTCTCTGTGTTATTGTTTTGCTGTCTTCCCAACAAATGTTTAATGGTACTTATTGCCAAGGAGCACCTTCTCACCACCGTGACTCAGGGTTCTCAATAACTACTTCTCTGTTATGAAACCTAATGCGAAGGCCTAACCCTACCAGCCCACAGCATACTAAGTTCTAATAAATTGCTTAATTAATATATTCAATATAAATGACAAATTGTGTTACATCCTTTACTTCCATGTCTTTAATTATCCTGTCTTTCAAAACATTTTAAGAAGTCTTACATCACACGGTCAGTCTTAAAAGCCAGAGATTTATAGTTATAGGCTGATTTCATCATTTATTTCCTTCTTTCTTATACATTTCAGCTCATATAGCTTTTTGCCTAGATTTATTATTTTACAATTATACAGAAGTCCTAAGCTATATGTAGATCTATTCCTAAACACAGAAAATGAGATAGATACGAAGTGTTACATGAGGGGAAAAACCCAATTCTGACCATGTCTATAAAATAAAAACAGCCTCTTAGTAACTGTTAATACTCAGGATAAAAGAATCCAACCTTTTAAAAGAATCCAATGAAAATATTCACTCAGTGCCCAGTAGTAGTCAAAAAGGAAAGGACTGAACCTGGAGATGCAGGCAAAAAAGCATTAGCAATGCTCTTGTAACCTTCAGGGAAGGGAAGGAGGGAAAAGTTCAGGAATGGTACAATTCAATAACATTTATTATTTTTAACTCTTGATACAATTTACATTAACTATGAACTGAAAAAATAGGTGTGACAAATGAGGTTTTCATAACGTTTAGAAAGGAATAATAGTTTGGGGGTTTATTTTTATAAGTCAAATTCACTATCACACATCTGGCATGTTTGACAAGCCCAGATGTGTGTGGTACATAAGAAAAACTCTCTTTAACCTCCTTGCCTTTATGGCATTAACATCTCAGGTTAGTGGGCTGAGGAGGAAAGCAGGTAAGAGCAAGGCGAGAGGGACTTTACTAGTCCATGTATAAGTTGGCTCCTCAATCTCAAACACAGGTCCATACCTCCACATTCTCCCCATGCACTCCTATTTCAGCCTTCACTTCAATTTAGGTGGCCCTGGCATGGATTCCCAATACGGTTTTAGGTCACACTGGCAGAGAATGAAATTCACCATAAGGAACAGCTGCTTCAAGAGACACACTCAACTCTGCAACCTGACTTCTCCCTCATACAAGTCACGCACATACATGGGCATCAAATGAACTGAAAATAGAGGTTAAGGCTTGTGTTTAAAACATGACTCAAAGCTGGAGATAGTCTGCTCTTCCACGCTAGAACCAAAAGAATAATTACAGACTAGAAAGGAGCTTAAGAACGCACTTGGATATTACAGGTCTGTGTGAGATAAGGAGCGTAAAGCAGTCAGGATTAAATGTCAGTCTTAACGGTGATTTCCTCACATCTGTGATTGCTCTGATAGGCAACGGGCTTTACTAGCTCTCCTTAATGTTAAATTACAAGAGCTTAGGGAGCAGAGACAGCTACAAAGTAGAAAAAACCCTAAACCTGACAAACCTCATGAACGTTCTTGTAATTTTATGTATCTTAACTCTGACATAATTGTCCCATGGAAATCCTTCAGTATATTACTGGAGATTATCCAGGGAGTGAAGGAACACATTATGAAAGATGCAAAAGCATTTAAAGACGTTCCAGTTACACTGGTTCCTGAAATGCCCCAATATTACCTTGTGTGGGATCTTGTCCATCTGACTGGCTCTGTAATGTTCAAACTGTCGTATTAATGCATATACACATCCAGAGTAAGTGCATAGTTTAGTGCTCAGCCGGTTGTTGCTAACGCATTAAGCAGTAATGCTCATCTCAAAAATATTATTTTATTTGGAATCATGCTTCACGTAATTGATGAAAATTGGCTCTCAGTCTTAGCCCTCAAAACAATAGAAGCACAGTGTATACAAGTATTTACAATGTCTCAAGAAGTCTTCACTGAAAACCATCTCTTTGCTTCACACCATTAGCTGTAATTAATTCTCTGTAGATTTTTAGTCAAACTGTGTAAAAAGATTAAACTAGGTCTTCAGGTAGAGCTGCAATTCTTGAAAAATTCTTTTTGTTTGGAGTAGGCTAAGTACGCAAATTTATCAATTTCAGCTGGAGATGATGCATACTTTCACAGCATGAATAAATGAAAGTAACCTTCTCCATTAGGATTCTCACCATGCTTTTTTTTTCCCCTTACATGGTTTTCAGTAAAATGTATCATTATATTTTATACATCTCATCAGACTCTATACATTCCACAGCCTTTGCTTCCCCAGTTAAAGAAGTTGTTCTTTGAATGTTTCTTCTTAAGCAGTTATTTCACCATTCTCCCAGATCCTCCCACTGCACTTACACTGGAAACCCCTTTTAAAGGTGATCAAAGCATGTGGAAACTCTCCTTCCCACTCCCCATCTGATACCTCACAGCTAAATCTCATTTGGGAATTTCTCCTTAGGGTCTTACAGCTTTCATCCTTACTTTGGTAAAGCTTTGGCCAGCATAAGTCTTTTGGCATAAATGATAAATTAAAAGCGACATAAGACACCACGTTTCATTGCATTTAAACCATCTGGCCCATTTAAGAGTTATATATATTTAATCCAGCATTCATCGGAACCGATGAAATGGATGTTGAGCATCCCTTAGCATATTGAGAAAAGGTAAAAAAAGGGCACAATGAGGATAGCTCTTAATCATACATTTTTACCCTGAATAGAAAGGGTCACTGTGAACACTGACATAATTTAGATAGATCAGCCACCCCTACCATGAAGTCCTTGATGACCACATTAAAAATGGGCAATGCTGTTGGCAACTAACATCTGCAGCACATTGGGTTTCCTTATATGCTCCTGAAGCACCTAAGAACTGAAATGCACTTACTAAGCCAGTCATTGCACACTAGCCTTTTATTCCTGCTTGAGGCTGGTTTTACAGTCAACGTGTTTATCACATTCTCAGTCCTCTGAACTTCTCCTCTTTTTTTTTTTCTTTTTCTTAAATCTGTGACATTTAGTCATCTGCCTTCTACTTCACACCAAACATTTTCTCTCTCGACTTGAATGTTTCTGAGCTGATTCTGTGGTAAGCAATACTGAGGAAAAAAAGGAATTTGCTGAAATAATATAAGGACTGCCTAGAAGTTGATTACAATTCAAGGGGGAAAAACCACATAAAAACCTTTTATAAATATTTTTTTCTCAGTACTTACATAATTAGTGAAGATCTAGGGCAACTACTGTTTTTAAAGAAGCAGAAAAATGTAATAAAGCCTGTACTCCTTCCTCCTTCAGCATGAAAGGCAAAACAAAGATAAGTGAACAACAAGTGATCCATATTCCCTTGCTGCATGATAAGGATGCGACTCCTGTACTTACCAAGGATTCCCAGTTTCAGGATACATTGAATGGGCAATTGAATTGTTTGGATTGTGATTTTTAAGAAGTAACCTGTCTCTGTAACAAACTCTCAAACTGCATATGTACAGAAGGCATTCATTTCAACCACAGAGAAAGCACAAGACTACTTTGGAATGCAGAGTGGAAGAGACTACATAAAAAAGGCCATTTTGCATGAATTCATCTGTCTCACTGCACAATCCCATACATCCAATATGAGAAGTATGAGCTAATTATTTAACATTTGCATACAAATTACATATTTTGGGGGTTTGTGGCATGGTTCCCCGTGTGATCTTGGGCCAGTTTCTGAACCTCTCCAAATCTCTGCTTCCTTGTTTGCAAAACAGATTAACGTTAGCTATGCAGGAGGGGTGAGGCTTAATTAACTCAAGTTTGTAAAAGGGCTTTCTGATCTTCAGATACTATGCAGAAGAAGGACTACAAAAATCCATTTAAGAAGTAACGAAGCATGTAAGCCCACATCCACACAACAAACATTTGGTGTATCAAATTCATACAGAAAATTTGTACTAACATTTCTTTGCAGTAGCAGCAAAAACGACGTCAGCAGAAAGTATAAAATATGTATATTGAAAATAACTAATTCACTTACTTCTTTCTAATTTCTAGGTCTGAAACCGGAACACATCTCAGGCCAGCTCCCAGTACCATGAGGGATGATGTTAGTAACACAGTCACCCTCAGACCTAAGACAAAAAAACCAACAGTATTTTACAAGTTAAGTCAGCAATGATGGAAAAAAAAAAAAGTGTTGCCTAAATTTATATATTTACATGCAGTCTCACAGAAGTAATGCGTATCTCTTTCAAGTCATAAACACTTTGGTGCTGATATGAATTACAGACAGATTATGAAATCCTGTGTTATTTTCTATACTTACACTCCAGAATTACAAAGGCTCACTCCTGGCATGCTACCGCACGGGATTGTTTCCAAAAATCTTACAGACATTCTTGGAAGTGAAAAGTGAAAAGTGGTAATAAAAGTATCATCAAAACGTACTGTATTTTCTTTAGAATTAGAAGCATCAGGGAATATGCTCCAATGTGTGATCAGAAACCTAGATAGAGCCAAAGAAAAATCTGGACTTGTACATTCTTTTCCAACCACTTAATGAGCGCAGACACAGCACTGTTATTGTTTTCTTTCATAATGCAGATATGCATTTCATCCTGAAGAAATAACTATTTATTCAGGGGAAAACAGTGCAAGTATTTTTTTGCAGTCGTTGCAATTAGGCCAAGCTTTTGCTGTGCTCAGCTCAAATTTTTAGAGGTTGTAAATATAGTACATTAGAAAAAAGCTAAAATTGACTGATTCCTTGAATATGTTTTTTTTTCCCACATACTGTGATTCTCAACTGAGAAGCACTTAGATTAGAAACAACTTTGTCTTAGTGCTGCAATTCCTTTTGCCCATGGTTTACTTGCTGCTGCTAAGGTGTTTCCAGCAGCAGCAAACAGAAAGAGAACAGTGACAGCTCAGGGGCTTAATCTCTAGAATCTTGTAAAACACCAAAATCATAAATATGCAGAATTAAAACCACTGATACAGTCTATATCTGTGAAGTCGTAGAACTTGAAACAATTTCACAGCAACAAACAGAAAATAAAGGGCTTCCATGTTCTTAGCAGAACACAATAAAAGCAATTAAATGATGACAAACACACAGTATCTCTAACATTAGGTGAAACTAGTATCTACCCAAAACACAGACTGAAAAAGAACAAGTCTCTAGGATAACTCACCTAACAAATGATTTTCATTGTTTCTAAAACTACCAATTTTCAGAGAAGCCCTCCCTCTATGTTAAATGGCTCCTGTAATCAGTACAATTCAACCAGTAGTGGCACTACGTATTTTATTTCCATGCAAATTTTACAGGGGTTTGGGATCATGTATTTTACCAAAACGTAATTTCAGAGGACGGGACATCCCTTGGCTCTTATTTCAACAGCTCTTAGTGAACCTCACTCCCGGGTATGCAACTCCTTGTGCACAAACACAATCAAAGACGGCTCTTCTCTCCATCAACATAACCCAAGACAATCCAAACAAAAAGAAGTTAATGCTACATGTTTTCTGAAATGGAACTATGACTTCCTTTGCTGTGGCTCGGTCATTAATGAAAGGAATGCAACCTGCAGTCCTGCGACTCCGAAGGACACCTCACATCCCTGATGCCCTGGAGAAGGATCATCAGCCACGAATATTTGTCTCCTTGAAGGATGTCCAATGCCTGTCCAGACTTACTTGCTTAACTCCGTGCTCAACCAGCACTTGGGGCTGTTAAACCGGTTTTTCAAGTGTGAGTGTTCAGAGAGACCTAACTAAATGCCCGGATAATATGGCTGTTCAAAATCCTGTTTTTCTTCATGTTTGCTGGGCCACTCTGTGAGCCTTCATGCCATGCTTAACCCTGTATTACCACACTGCACATGTTGTGGGGGTAATCGTTTGTATCAGGATGGCATACGTAACGCTTGTGCCTTTTCTCATGGGAAATAAATCTTTGTGACTTTGCTTTTGTGCACAATGAGAACTCGTATGCAATGAAAAATATAATATTATTGATGGAAAATCAAAACAGGGGCATCTTTTAACTAAAAAAACCTTCAGTCTTCCATTTGGAAATGCTGCTGCAATGTTTCAGGAAAGCTCTAATGATGTACATATCACCTTCATATCTTCCATGTAAACCATGGTCTTTTTGAATTGCATGTCACAAATCACAGCTCGTTCTGCCTTTCAGGAGACACGAGGACAGACACAGCCAGCCTGGAAGGCCCAGCGCAAGGACACAGGAGGTTCTGCCACAGGAGACGCAGGTCGGGTACAAACCCAGGGGACAGCAGTAAATGAGTGTTATATAGAAATTTAAGTTTAAATCACTACAGGACATATGAGGAGTGTTCCCATATCAGAAACTCTATTTGATTTTTAATTTTAAAAAACCAACAAACTCTAACAAAAAAAAAAAAAGAAACCAAAACACACACACACACACAAACCAAAACAAAGAACACAAACCAAGAAAAAGTTTAAATTTAATGCCACAGAAAATTTTCCTAAGAAAAACAATACGCAATTCAGTGAAAACTGAATTGGATGCTGAAGTTTTTCCCCAGCCCTAAGTTCAGGCTTATCTTTAATGTCAACGTCACGTCGGGCAATTTTAAAATAAAATCAGTTAAAGCCTCTCTATCATGTATGTTTAATCTCTCCAAACATTCTTTGAAGTCTTCACCTTGAATACTACACACTGTAATGGACCACTTTTAAATGTTTTGATCACACAGATTATTCCTTGGCCTTTTTTTTCCCTCCACCTTAACATGTAAACACATCCCTAAAAATTCCTTCAGTCAAAGCTGTGTGTTGAAAATGATGACACCACAATAAACAAGTAAAAGAGTGTCAGACAAGCAGCATAGTAGACATTTTCTTCGCTAATTACATGATGTACTTCTACTCTCTAAGCACCTTCCTCTTTTATTTTGCTTTACATTTTAACTCTCTGAATCCCTCATCCTTTTCATCTTTGTTAGAAATTGGTCTTTAATAGTATTTTTATAGTTATTTCAGTGTTTTTGCTTTGAACTTTGCAGTGGTCCTTAATCTGAATTGGGCATTTTATATCACTCTAAAAAGTACACCCTGGAGTGTTTCAAAGAGCAGCACGCATCATGGGGACAACAAACCAAAGTAACCAACGAAGCCTGAAAAAAAAGCCTGTAAACTCTGCAAGAAATTAATTCTCTATTTTAAAAGATCTAAGTAATTCACACAACCAAGATTTTGAGTAGGTGCCATTAACTTCATTAATATTACCCTGTAAATACAACCGGTAACTGATGGGAGTCCATGTGTGTGCGTTACAAACTAAAATCCATCATTCAGTGTCCAGTCTCCTTCTATCAGAGGTTGCTGTCACATGGCTGGAAAGGGAAGAAACTTCTGAAAAGGAATTTTCTGCCAACGGAGCAAGTTTTCTGCTCTTTGGAGCCTTTCTTGTTAGCTGATCCTCTCCACCCTGCTCTTGCAGGAGATTCCTGGGCCCCGCAGGTTCCTCTGGTTGTTGGGCAAAGTGTGGCCACGGTCATTGACAGTATTAGAAAAGTCCAAGCTAGCAGCAGAAATTGAGTCAGCATCAAAAAGACATATTATTTTTCATTTATGAGCGAAACAGTCAATATTGTTCAACTGTTTAACCCTCCTGCGGCTAATAACACACTCTGCTTCACAACTTCAGCGGCCCACGCTGCATTTACTGGTTTTTATTTCTTTTTCTAACACCTACCCACAAACTCCCGCCACTATTAGAGATTTAACACAAACTCTCAACCCACAGCCCTCTTCACTCTCCTGCAAAACACAAAATTTTAGTCCTGCCAAGATCATGTTGTACTAGTAAACCCTGCTGTTCACCTCTGCCAGCAGGATGTGCTGACCGGGTCTGGCCCCTGGGACGTTTCTAGCTGCCCCACCAGCTTTCTTTTTGGGAAAGCAGCTACTGCAGCAACACACATGGTGGGATGAACCCAGAGCCCCCTACCATCCACAGCCTGACACAGAAAACAGGCAACACACCACCACATGGTCTCGCACCAGAGTGGGAGGCAGTGGCTACTGGTGGTACCCAGCTGTTCTTCAGCTCCCTCACAGTAACATCAGGCGATAGCACCCAACACGTGGGTGTTGCAAACTCCCACAAAATCTCTTCCAACATGCCTTATTTGCAAGATATTTTTTAAAGTACAAGAAAAGAAAATTCTTATACACACACACTGCATTACTGACTTGTAACCAGTTAAGTGATTTATTATGCTCAGTTTAATAAGAAACGTTATAAAAGATGGTGTACAGCTACAATGAACCCCTCATTCCAACTATTTACACATTATCAGTTTGTTATTCGGAAAGAGAACATGATTAGCAACTGCATAATGCTTTTGTAAGCTTATGACCATTCCTTCTCCCACCCGTCAGACACCCGTTACAATAAAACACTGTAAAACATAAGACTGACAGACTGTAAAAATAAATAAATAAATCCTTACACAAAACACACATTCAAGCCAAAATTGCTTGCACATTGAGAAGTGGAAGTTTCTACTTCTGCAGTGAACACCCTGTGCATCCCCCGGCCGGTGTAGGGCAGCACTCCTGCTACAGACCCCCCAAGAGCAACACACCTCTGGTTCAGAGCATCACACAAATGGCAGATACCGTCTGGGTTTTTCTCCAACCCCTTCCTAATGAAGAGGGAGTTTTTCGTAGTGGGAAAATTGCAGTTGGGCATGCAGAACAGCCACTCGTCACCCTTCTGGTGGGATTAATGGAAGTTTGGCCAGAGGAGAGGGTGGGGGATTCAGCCCCCCCCGGCTGGCACGGCAGCAGTGGGTTTCCCTCGTACAGCCCGCGCATCCCGCGCTCGGATGCATTAGCATTTGAGGATTCTCCTTCCTTCAGCTGCTGATACTAAAATCAGTCCTCACAAATACAGCATACAACAAGGCTCTAATTAGAAGCAAGTGACATCAGCCTGCTGCACATTTTCACAGCTTTTAGAGACCAGGCTGGAAGCAAGAACGGTCCCTTCTGACACTGAACTGAGAGCACTTTAATTTGCTTAACTACTCTACTACTATTTTGACTAAAGCATATCTCACTAAATAAAAATAATGTTCCTTTGATGCACACACATCAGGAAACAAAA